TTTTCTGACAATGACTTCTGAGTACTTCTAGGTCTCTTTAACTATAGCTACAGTCAAGTAGAAAATGGTATTGCATTTCCCAAAAAAGCATTAACACTAGCACATGAAAAAGTATAATACACATATCTGCAATGTGTATATTATTTAGAAAATGCAAAGTGTGATGAAGAATTAACAAGGTAAACCTGAGATGATTATCCTTAGAAAGATGTTTGCAAGGTTGGCCCATGTTGGGGACTAGTAAGTTGAATGGCAAACATTAATATAAAGCTTTCTCTAAATGATAAGATAGCTCTACGGTACCCTGGCTGTTTAAACAATAGGGCTTATGCGGAATATCTGCTTTCCTTTAAGAAGTTTGGAATTTTGGTATACGAGGGAGTCCCTGCCTCCTCCCCAAAAATCGTTTTTAAATTTTTCACAGCTATGTATTTAAATTTTTTTACAAAACAACCTTATCAGCTTCATAGTACTCTCCATTATACTTAATACATTTGTCAAATCTGTGATCCATTCTTGGGAAACATTTTCCAAGCTCATCTGTTTAGATGGCTGACAGCACCTCCCTTGTTTTTTTCTTCACCTCATCTACATTGCCAAATCGCTGTCCTTTCATGCCTCTTCATTGGCAGAAACAAAAAGAAGTTGCAAGGAGTGAGGTCAGATGAATCAGGTGCGTGGGGCAAGAGAGGCATGCTGTGTTTTGCCAAAAACTGGTAGACTGAGATGACTGTGTGAGCAGCAGCATTGTTGTGGTGGCAAAACCAGTCTCCCGCCTGCCACAAATCAGGCCTTTTTTGTTGCACACGGTTATGTAATCTTTTCAGAAGTTCTAAATAGAGAGCTTGATTAACAGTCTGACCTGGTGGAGTGAACTCCAAATGTACTACGAGCTGACATTTTAATCTGTTCTCATACATTTGAGGTCTTCCCATAGCATTGTTCTTACATGCTGTGTTCAATATCACAACAATTTTTGCAGCAGTTTTCCAGAACAGGAAACAAAATTTCAGATACATGCTGATCTTTTAAATTGGCCTTCACAAAAACCGGGTTCAAGGCAAACTGCTTTGATTAAAAAATTCACTGTGACCAGAGAGAACCTTTCCAGGTGACGCACTGAGTGCCCTGAGAACAAGTTGTTCAATGCTTGCTAGCGGGAAAAATGTGTACTATGAAACTCTACTCTGCTCTGCTCAGCGCAAGACCAGATTTTTTGGTACCCCTCGTATGTGCTACACAGAGGATTCATATGCGATTGCATAAAATAAAAACGTTGGGCACTGCCACTCTAAGCAGCGTCCCTGGTAGCTAACATGTCAAACATGATCAGTTTGTTGCTAGAGGAATTATGTTTGTCCTGTGCAGTGCTCTTGGGAGCTGGTTTTCTCAAGACTTCACTCACGGCGCCTTTTCCCTTTGCTGATTTTGCTTTGGCTAGTCTCACTGCAATAAACCTCAGCTGTGAGCACAATTACATGGTGAGTTCTGTGAATCCTATCGGACAACCAAGCGTAGGAATGGTCACGAAACTGTGACAACAGAACAGAAATGCCTTTTAGTTGTTAATCCATTACTCTTCCATGTTTATGCAGAGAAAAATGAAGTAATTCTTTTATCATTCAGTATAAACCTGTTTACAACCCTATATATTTTTATAGTGTCTCCTTGTACATTGTTAGGGTTCCCACAACAACTGTTACTTGGTTGCTTTATTTGCAAGTTAATTATTTTGAATACAATTTTATCATTTATATTTCCATGGGTAATACAGCCAGATAGAGTTGCTGTGGAAACCATAACTGATTCTTGTCATAAAGTATATAGCACTGAGGAATGAAATTTAAAGATTATATACAGAAACTCTTCATATGCATTACCAGGATAAAGTATTGTTAGTATGAGAATTTTAGGACTATTCTGTGAACTATTCACTTCTAAACCTGAACTTTAATATTGCATGCATAATTTGACATTTAAATACCACCTCCTCTTTTTTTTGAAGGCAAAATATGTGTAGGAGAGAATCTAACAAACTGATTGATCATCTTTTTGTGCACTTAAAAAGGCCAGTTTGAGTTAAAATACTGTAATAGAAAAGGTTTTAATAACCCAATATTCAAATATAAGTAATTAGTGAATTAATCACTGATTAAATACATGTCAGGGTAAATTTGATAAGTCATTGGTATTGGCAGTTTCATAGCATGGTTTCAGAATGAAAATTACAATCCATAAAAATGTTTTACATA